CCTGACTGACTCATTCCTTATGAAGCATAAAAAGTAGATCAGAGAAAAAGCTGAGAATGAAATTGAAGTACAATTTACAGTAATATAATGGCTACCAGATCTATATTCTAAGGGTTGCACTTGACTGTTTTTTTCACTGCTAGAAGAATTTGCATTTACATTTAAATAGTTGCATATTGAAGTTAAAATTTCCTACTTTTGAAAGGAAGTGATGGTTAAAATCTGTTTTACTATATTGAAATAATTAGTCATTCATTCACTAATAGTAAGTGCATTTTAGAATATATTTTGAAAATGCACATGAGAATTCAAGTACTTTTAAAATCTTTATCACTTTGATGAAAAAAATACTTTTTTAGTTGTGAGGAGTAGAAATAATTAGTTTTATTTGCTACTTTCATTTGAGAATTTGATCATTTTAACAAAAAAATATATATATATTCTTCCAGATGCCAAACTAAACTTCTGCTGACCAAATAAATCATTTTTAATATTGTCTTATGAAAACATAATCTTTACAGGTGGGAAAAAATAGTTTTTATTTAACAGTGATTCTGATCATGGTATCAAAAACAAGGCTAAACAAGTATTCACACAGTCTTCAAAATTGTTCCATTTTCTCCATTATGTGTAAGAAACAAACATTGATAATTTGGATCTTAATGTATGTGGTTTCTTTATACCATGTGACAGTAATTCACTTTGGAAAGAACTGTAAGCATTATATACATGTGTGTGTGTATCTGTATAGGAGTGCTAGTTCCTGAATTTTTCATAAGCAGATAAGAAATTCTATCAAAACTTGGTTTGTTGAGTTGCTTACTGCTCTCCACTTTAACACAGAATATTCTCCTAATATTCTTATGATTCTGAACACCAATTGGCAGCCATACCATCTGCTCTTTGATTCAGCATAAAACAGCAATGAAGAATGCATTTTTGGGATTCACTGTAATTCTCTTTATACAGGGAATCTAATTGGTCAGTTTAGTGGGTTTGTCAAGCACTGAAATACTGCAGATGTCAGTAGTCAGACTTAAAATTCATGATCCAGAATAACCTTTATCAATATATCACTTAGTTGTGGAATTTCAAATCAGATCTGACTTTTATTTGTCACACACATGCATTCAAGTCCTTTTTTTAGCAGCTTTACAGTTGCTGTGAGATGAGAGTAACCATAACTTGTATGCTACTGCAACTTCCTTAAGCATTTGTGATAGAAATAAAGAAATAATAACACTACTCCCCAGGAAGAGACCAAAATTTCTGAAAGAAAGAATTAAATATGTCTGAAGCTTTTAGAACCAACAGAACATCAGTAGAATTATCATCAGACACTATTTCCTACTGTTTACCTATTACAAATGTAGTGATAACACTGGAGTTTCAGATTTGTCTATTAGATTTGTCAAGATTGCTTTTTTGTCCTTGTGTGTGTGCATTTGTATTTCTCCTTAAGTTCTGGTGGACTTGAGGGGGAAAAAAATGAAGTTATTAAAATATTTGAGCTTGAATTTTGTCTTGATTCCAGACCCTCTTTCTATACAGAACTACCAATATCAACAATAAGTTAATCAATTTTTTGTGTTCCCAGTGTCTACCACATACATTTCCTGCTAAATTTAAATAGATCAGAGAGTCATCTAGTGGCCAAACAGTGGAATTTTGAATAAATTTTCTACTCAGGAGTTTTTCACTGCCATCAGATCTCATGAGGTGCATCTCAGACACTGATAGAACGTGATGGTCGGATATCAGTTGATTGAATTCTCATGAGGATAAAATAAGAAAGGAGGATAAAGTCCATCCTCTGCTCCCTGAAGGTAAACAAAGAAAAATCATCATAATCATCAGCATCACCACTAACAACAAAATACTAGATAGTTCCTTAGTTTATTGGCTTTTATTATTTATTCTCTCAATAATGCTTCCTCCTCTTAGATCAATGAATTCTTGAGTCTTTAAATTAAGTACGTAATTTCAGACAGCCAAATTTTAAGTTATTTACATTTCAATTTTGAAAGGATCTTGTCATACTGGATCAATCCAGATGTTCCTCTAATTCACTAAACCATTTTTTCAAAGTGACCAACAGCAGACACTGTAAAAGAATACACAGATATTCATCTTCATATTCTCTCTAATTTTACAACAGATACAATATTTTTTTCCACAATGCTTGTTAGAATTAATTATAATTCTGAACAATCTACAGAAATTACAAATACTTACTCATACTTTGTTTCCGATTAAGTACTTGTCTCAGAATTTTCCATGGTTTGATATCCTACTTCTACTTTTCATGTAAAATATGTTCTTGTTCTATGACACAAGAAGTTCCTAATCCTCTTACCAATAAAATTCTATCCTTACATGTTTTTCACTATACTAAGAAAGGGAAAAGAAGCATGTTTTTATTATCAGTTTTTCTAAGGTTCCTTTTTGTTATTGTCTTCTGAATCTTTCAATTTTAACGGTGACTATCTTCTGATTTTTAGATACTTGACATATCTCCAAGGTTCTACAATAATTTACATCATTATTTCTGTATAAAGTTCCCTGAGTACGCAATATTTTCTATACATCTTAATATCTTGGTTGTGTTAAGATTTCTTATGTAATGTTCTTATGTCTTATGTAGGAAGATTTTAAATTTTTAAGAACTTTATTTCTTTCCAACAGATCATGAAGAATATTGAAAGAACCTTTCATATTAAGGCCAATAGTAACAGAACAGAAGAGGTGGCTTAGAGACATAACTTACACGGGTGCCATAATAGTTTCTTTATCCTCAGAGTTCAACTGTTAGTTCATGTTATAAGCACTGAATTCAAGAACTTGGAAACATATAGAAAAAATTTCAAATTAGTTCTAGAAAATGATTTTTTCTTTTTCCTACAGCAATTTCAAATATTTTAAAAGTTCTGTTTTCAGAAGAAATCAATACATGAACTGCAGGCTTTCAATTATTAGAAGGTTAAAGAAACTGTTAGGTCTTAACCAAAAATGGCAGAAATAATTCAGTGTTACACAGAAATTAAGATAATTACTGCTCATAAATAATAGTGTAGCAAAATTGCTACATTAATTTGAAACATTTGCTACAGTCATTTATGTAATGCTTAGCTAGGTCTGAAAATTTGGGCTTTCATTTACATAATACTATATACACTGCTTTAATGTCTACTTTCATTTTCTCCCACATCTCCCTTCTTCCACAAAGCCCACCCAAAACTTGAGATTACTGCTTCATTTGAACTTGGATGGGCTTCAGTATGTTCATGCAAGTCAATAATCTTTTGTCTTTTACTACTTCTTCTATCAAGAGCCAAACTGAATTGTACTTTAGTGCTCTGAGGAGGTGAGAAAAGTGCAGCATATGTTTTGTGCTATCATTGGGGAGACTTGCTAAGAATGATGGAGTAAAAATGCTACTTCACTGCTCCTCTAAGTGACGAATGGTATAACTGTTGTGATGGGGGCACTTGGGATGTTGTCAAAGCACTGGCAACCTTGGACAATGATGCTGGTGTGAGCTTACCAAAAATACAATAGTTCACAATAATACATAGTTTCTGCTTTCTCATTTTCTATTCATCTTTGTCTCTCCACTGTAAAATCATATGGTTATGTCTCCAGACACCCATTTGGGATAACTTCGGTAATTCTGCCACAAGCAGTGGGCACACAGCTGTAAAATAAATTCAGCTTTCTTTGTCAGACATTGGTAGAAATGTGGTGCCAAATAAAGAGTTGTTGCTTGGTTCATCCTGGGTAGGGAGAAGTGTTTATGACCCATCATGTCCAGATTAGAGGTATAAAACCATTTTTACATTATGCTACTTGACCAATAGAAAACCAGAGGCTTTCCATGGCTGTTTGGGCTCCAGAAACATGGGACAAATCTAGCAGATATTCCAGAGATTACATTCTATGTTGTGCAAACCTGATAACATCAAAACTCACAATAAATAACACATTATCATCTTTATGGGCCACGCTGACAAAACGTGTCATTTAATTTAACCTTCAAAACATCCTCGCTCTCTCTCCCCCAGATTCAATTTGTGAATTCAGCAGGGAATATCATTACTGAACAATGAGTGCTCCTCAGAAAAAAAAGCCAACATAGTGAGCTTGGAGAATAAGCAGCCTTTTCAGTTTTCTCTTACTAAAGCATCCTTGTAAATTTACTTGAACTGTGATAAGAAAAAGACAGCTGCATTCAAGAGGAGTAAAGAGGTGTGAGTCACAAGGAGCAGTTATTCTCTTTAAGACAGAAGGCAACTCTTTTACTCTATCATCGGTAGGGGTCCAAATATTGCTGGTGTTGGCAAGGACCTAAAGCCTGCTAAAAAGTGCCCTAGGGAGGATAATCCAGTTTTAGACATGACAATATTAATATCTCAGAAGCAGCATCACTGTGTGATTTCACTATAAAAGTGATTTCAATAAGAGTGCTAGTGTCGAACAGCTGGTATGGAAAGACAAGAGGTTTAAAGTGTTTCTACTGCCTGCTCTTTGTTATTTTTTTCCTCTTCTTCTGTATTTTCAGGGAAATACATGCTTTGTTTCCATTTATAGTATCTAACATGTAATTATCCCTACACTATGAGTGGCAATTGAGTCAGGCTGTCTTAAGCACACACAAATTGCTAAATAAATAAATAAAAGCCTAGATTTCTAAAGAACAAATTGACAGCAGAAGAATGATGTGAAATTCAGTAACTGGAGGAGTGAATAGATATGTGGCTACATATTCTAAAGACTTGATGTGATCAGCAGTATCCACAATTACACAGTAAGTTTCTCAAAAAGTGCTAATGGAAGTACTGATGGCTAGAGAACTGAAAGAGCTTGGCTTACAATATGCAAAAGCTGACAAGTTACTTCTATGTTTTAGCATGAGAGATGCTGACATAAATAATAGCTAATAAGCTCTTGAGGAAGTATTTGAGCTTTTTTCCACAGCATCTGCTGAGCACCGATGAAATGGGACATTCCTCCATCCATTTGTTGAATATGGTGTAGATAGAGTTCTTCCCTTCCAGCAGAAGAATTTTCATTGAAGCTGCAGAGTATCCCAGGGTATGAAAATCTGTAGTGTTTGATGCTGACTTCCTTTAAACTCTTTTCATACAAGGAGTTACACAGTTCTTGCTTCTTTAGGCAGGTGTCAACTTTGATCTGCTGCCAAAGTATTTAGCAGTCTAAACTTCTTGGAAAAAGAAGAGTTTCCAGTGGCTCCTAAATCACAAAATAAGAATTAGGCAGAAACTATATCTAGTGCAGACTTTCATTATTCAATCCACGAAGATATTAAATATCAGCTACACGAGTCTGGAGGAACTGAAAAATCTAATTTTCTGTAAATCAGTGTAGAATCAGTAAGACATCAATGACCATAAAACAGTTATTACTAGTAAGACAGCAAACACTGTAACATCGTAACTTTTTACCTTCATTGTCCCTCTTGACCTACTGGGAGAAGGAAGACCAAAGCATGAGATCCATAAATGATGAGATCCACAAGAAGTAGGTTACGCTGACCACCACACAGTAGCTTCAGATTTATGAAGTGCTCATGGAAAGCTCCCCAGACCCTAGGCTGTCAGACACCCAGTGTTATAACTGGGAGTCTGTAAAAATTCCAAAAAAATCTGTAGACTGGTCTTTCCTCAAAGTGTTTTAAACTTCAAAAGTAGAGAACAGGTCTGAAATTTCATTCCCTCTGCTATTTGGAAGATTCTGTTTCATTTAAATTAGGCATTATGCAGTTTCTTAATGGACAAAGCAACCAACTTTCCATAACAAGGCTGCGCAGGCATAGATTGTGTGACAGTATAATGCAATCATTCACATTTCTTTTTAAAACTATGTGCTTTTCTTCTCTTGTTTACAAATAAAGATATTCCTAGTGGTGAATCTTCAAACTGAAAAACTGCACAACTTACTATTCATTCATATTCTGAGTCGTTTGCTTTGTTGCTTTTTTGTTGTTGTTGTTGTTGCTTTTCTTTCCTTGTGGTTTTGAGTTTTTTGGGTTTTTTTTGTTGGTTTTTTTTTTTTTTTTGTTACTGTTATTTAACACACAAAATGCTCAAGACCTGTAGGTAAACTTACTTGGAGTATTTCTTCTATTTAAAAACAATCATACATAGCTATCTTTTACTTAAAACCTATACAGTTTTCCAACAAACAAAAGTATTTTTGTTTGCAAATACTCTCAACTATCTACCTAGGCTTTATACTTACATGCGTTTTTTGTTAATATGAGGCCCATGGGAGGTAATGGTCTGCACCTGCACAAATGAAATTAAATCAATTTTGTAGTGATTTCAATAAAAGTGGGATTTAAAGTGTATCTAATTCACTTGCTGCAGCATCTGATGCACAGACTCAGATGCAAATGATTCAAGTTTTATTACAAGTTCTCATATCACTTATATAACTTCACAAGTTTTCTTTTTCTAGCTTTCCCATCCACCTCTACAACTTTCCCATCCACCTTTACATGTCAACAGAGCATTCTACAAAGCACTCTTCAACCGTTCACACAGGCATTTATCCAGTCAGACCCCTGAGACGTCCTTTCTTCTAGAGGTGTTCTTGATTCTCATGCTGTTTATCTTGCTCCACAGCTTCTGCTCTGAACAGTTTTTCTTATATTCCCACACTTTGCCACTTTCCATTGTCTAGCAAGTGGAATAATTCAAGTACCCAAGCATAGTTGAGTATTTCTTTTTCAGATATTGTAGGGTATCTGAGGCTGTTGAAACCTTGTTTGTCCATAAAGGGAGCTTAACTGACTATTTTCAGTTAGATGTTCTATTTTACATAGCTAAAGTCAAATGATGCTTTGTATCCTTGGAATAAGACTTGCAGAGAATCATTAAAAAAACATTTAAGTGCTTGCTTCTTTTATCTGAAAAGCTTATCTTCCTTCCACAAAGAGCTAAACTCTCAGTGATTTGAGTACATGAACAAAAAGTTTAGTTTGAAATTATGCAAAATAAATCAGAGCTGAACAGTTAGAGCAATTGTAACTATCAATGAGTTATTCACAAAGGATAGAAGGGATGGGCAAGACAGGAGAGAAGGGAAGTCACCCTTGGCAGCAGGACTGAAACTAAGTGATAGTTATGGTCCCTTCCAACCTAAGCCATTCTATGATTCTATGAACTATAATTACCAGCTACAGAGGGCTGTTGTTTTTTGTTTGTTTGTTTTTCAGGTCAAACTATTCCATTTAGTATTCTTATATGTTGATTTTCTAGTCTCAGTCCCTTTTATTAATATAACCAAGAGTTCAGCTGTCACAAAGATACTTGCAAACACAAAGCAGAAAAAACTGAGTTAATTAATGAAATAGGAGAGTCAATCTCCCTGCGTTACTTTTTTGTAGTATAATTTTCTGCCTTAAAGGACTAAATGGGTTCTGTGCATCCCATTTCTGTGAAAGAAAAAGGAAAGTTTCAAAAGATTCATATCCCACATATGACAAATTACAATCCTCTGTCTTAGGATGGCATTTTTACCTTCTCTGACAGAATGCTACACCATATCAACCAGTACGTATACTGACTTTAATTAAACTATAAGTAAATAAAATGTTACTTCCTGTATGATTTTCACCTTGTTTTTAATTTTCACATCTGCCAATGAATAAGAGTGCAATTGAAATGTCAATATCTTTTCTTAGCAAAATGGGAAAGTAAAGGATCACTTTTTTTGAGAGTCATGGGATCTACCAGTTGGAAATGTATGATATGTTTTAAATGTTTCTCTTAACTTTTTGTTGAACATGAAAAAAAAATTGCATTTTTTTTTCTGCTGAAAGATGAAGTTTCCTTAGTTTCCTTCCTAACACGACCATTTTTTAAAAAACATGTTGCATATTGCTAGAAGAGAACAAGAATAGGAAAGAAACTATATGGATTTTTCACAGAGAAACGTGGAATAGAGTATGGCTCACATGGACATCACTCTGAGGACCAGTAGATCCTTTAGGTTTTTGCTGACATGTTCTTGATCTACAATGTCTTTACTGTCTGCTAGATTAGGAGACTTTTCAGCAAGCATTAAATCATGTATGTCTTACCATTCTTCTTAACCATGAAGTTGTGGAGAGGAGTCTTGAAGAAATGATGATTTCTTCCTCTCTTACTTCTATTTCATTCATTGCACCCATTGCACTAGCGTTTACAAATGTAAAAGACTTCTCTGTGCTGAGAAAGCATCCTGAGAAATTCTGTCTCATTTCAGCCAAGAAGGAACAGACAGCTGCGTAGCTTTGATTCACAGCAGTCTGTAATAGCCCTTGAAATTGAGGATTACAAAAGGTAGCAAGATAGCTTATAGAAAATCCAAAAGGGCAACTATAAGTGGAGGAAATAACAGTGGCAATGAGCTATGTTTGTTGTTTTTCCATAAATGAATGAATGAATGAGTGAATGAATGAATGAATAAATAAATAAACAAACAAACAAACAAATAAATACTGAGGCAATGTTTCTGTGTCTGTCATTTGATGTTGTTATGCACTGCCTCAAGAGAAAATAAAAACCATACTCACTTTCTTATCTTTTCTTCTTTCCTTCCTTCCCTCCATTCTTTCTCTCTGTACCCATTTATTTTTTGGTCCAGCTATAGTTGGCTGCTGATAATTTAAATTCATTGCCTCATGAGTGCCTTCCTGTTAGAGATAAATGACACTTCACACATTTGCTGCTTGTTTGTTTAACAGCTGCCTCTCCTTAGTCTCTGTGTTGTAGGTATCTGGAAAAATGTCATGTTTATGTTATGTACAATAACAGACCTGATTTTTTGTTAAAATAATGTTTTGGAGGAGAATTGTACTTCTCTCTTATGGTCATTCGCTGCCTAGTTCTGGCACCACTTAGTCTACTTTTATTTTTAAGAGATGACCTGATAGAAAAATAGAGAAATAAATCACAATTATATTGCCTGAGTAAACGTCAGAAATTTTGATTACAGCACAATGAAAGCAGCCTCGTCCTTCTTTGTAGAGAATTGCTAGCCATCCATACTTGACATTATGTTTTCACTTTTAAAATCTTGTATGAACTGAAAATATGATTACTTGGCACATTTTTAGAAATCAGTTATTATTGTTTGAGAGGTTAATAAAAGTTCAAGTTTCGTAGTTAACACATACATTAGTTTTAAAGTTGAAGCACTCTCCATTTTTTACTTAGGATTGCTCATTTAGTATAGATCTGTGTTTCACTTAGCTATTTTGCTTCAAGCCATTTTTCTTTATCTTATTAAACAAAGATGTAAATAAAGTCCATAATCAAAAGTTTGGTTTGAAAATAACAATATTACATTTCATAGATAAAAGCTGTGCCCACTGAGGCCTCAAGACCAGTTTATAAAGTATCACTGAATGTTTTCAAGGTGTTTGTCTCCTGTTTTTATTTGCTGTAGTTCAACAGCAACTTTATTTTTACATATTTTTATTGTACAAAAATACACAAAAACTGTACTTAGATTAAATTAGAAGCACATGTAGCTGAATCAAAAAATAATGTTGATAATTTTATCAGTCAGGTATTATTCATAATGATCTTGAACAAATAGAAAGCTCCTTTTGCTGGGATGAGTAAAAGTGCTTGAATCTACTCCGTCTACTCATGTTGAGTGTTTACATTACAGATAACAGCTATGTAGCCCAGTGAAGGGCATGGAACCCAGATCCTACATTAGTGTTTAGTTTTCCTTAAAAGAACTGTATAATTAGGAAAACTAAGTATAAAAACAAAATAAATTAGAAACACATCAAAATTTCTAGGACAACATGGAAACACTCAGAAGTTAAAAGTGAATTTAATTAAAATTAAATACTTTGTATTTATACATGTAAGGCACTAATGATTATAGGTAACTCTTACTTGCTGGTGACTGGATTTGGTAACAAGAAAATAACCTTCGAAAAATGTTTGGGGATGATGTGGGGATACACATTTGAATATGTATTAAGAGGTACATGGACAAATATGACAAAAGTTTAAAAGTTCAACATCAGTAATTAAACATATTTCTTATAGAGGAAAAGTTTGATTCACAGAGTTATTAGATTTCTGTGAAGAGGTGAAATAGCAAGTGAATATGGGGTGATCCACCCATAGCTATCTACGTGAAGCTCTTACAAAATTTGTCAGAGTTGCTTTCAGAAGTCTCTTAGGTGTTATCACTGGTAAGAAACAAGTCTCACTTACAAATTAGTAAAAAAATTCAACCCTAAAAATGTAACAGTAATCAAAAGGAAGGAGGTTAAAGGAATTCAGAAGAGATCTTTGAATCAATAAAAATAATTCACATAAAGCAATGAATAGTGCTGCAGCAAAGTTTGCTGATGATGAACAATTATGCCAGAAAGTCAAAGCTGACACTGACTGCGTTACAGAACTAAAAGGGTAATAAAATACATCAGAGACACAGTGTTAATAAATGCTAAGTAACAAATGCAGGAAAAACTGTGCAATGAAATGATGAGTTCTAAATGAACTATTATAACTTAGAGGACAAATTTTTTGAGTCATTGTAGGCATTTCTAAGAAAGTGCCTGCTTAACAGAAGTTGAACAAGAAACATAAAGTTAAGAAATGTTTAGTAAAAAAATTGAAAGCAAAAGAGGAAACTTTTTTTTTTCCTACGTGCAGCTGCATCTTGAACTCTTTATACAACATTTCTTAAAGACTATACCAGCACTAAAAAAAGGAAAGCAAAACCAATACAAATAGCGAATTCAGAGTCTGTTAAATACAATGGTACAGATTCAAACTCCAGTTCAGCAGCTACCTAAAAAAAACATTTCTGTTAGGAGTTGGAAAGTGTAATGGTATAAGACACTGACTTCAATGTTTGTTTTAATCTTTGTTTTTTGTTTTTCTTTTTTTCTGTGATCTCTGAGAAAGTCATGGGAGAAAGAGAGGTTGACTCTAGTGCTGATTCAAAGCACAGAAGGTAATATTTTACAAGGAATTATGCTCAAGAGAGAGGCCATTTTTCTTCTGTGACTGTACATTTAGGCTGAGAGGACTTTTGTCCTAACTAAAGTAAGTACATTGAAGTTTCCAAAGTTGGGCAGTATGATGAAAACACTTCACCTTTCTTTGTTCAAATCTGAACATTTTAAAATATTTTTAAGTCATTTTATTTAAGGAAAACCTGATTTGTCTTTTCTAGTTCAAAACTAGGAAAAATATATGATCGTATGTTTTCTAGACTATTTCAGCTAAGCAGCAAAGAGATAAAATCCTCATTCATTGTAGGGACC